AAAAGTTACCCTTTTTAAATTATAACTTAAGCTTTTAAGCTATAGCTTAAAAAGGTTAAGGAATATAAATTACTTACTTATTTAGATTACTTGCTTATTAAATACATTATGTCTTATTATATATATTTAATTAATTAAGTTATAACTTTAAGTTAATTTAACGTTTATTAACTAACTTATATAAAACTTAATATAATTCCTTTAATTTTAACTTTAATAGAATTTCTAAACCCTGTCTTTACCTTATATTTATTTTAAAACTTTATATATAAACTTCCTATCCTTATACTCTTTAAGTTTAAGATTATAATTAACCTAGTTTATATATTTATATATAATAAAAAAGATATAAAGTACTTATTTTGCATTTATAATTATATTAATAAGCTACTTTTTATATTAAGCTAAGTTTAAGCCTATAAAGATAATAAAGAAAGGTATTTCTTTTATTTTTAAAGGCTAGTTATATCTTAAGGCTTTTTTTAGCTTTTTTAATCTAAATAGCTTTTAGTTAATTTAAGCTAGAAATATTATATTTTTTAAGTAACTTAAATTTATATAATTAATTAACTTAATTAAGTTATAATTAAAAATAGCTATTTTAATTAAGTTAGATTTCCCTTTTAATAAAAAGTTCTTTTTAATAGCTATAACTATTATATATAATATATAATAATCTCTTTTTATAGCTTACTTTAAGGCTAATTTAATTATATTAATAAGATTATAATTAATTATATAATAGCCCTAATTAGGCTATAAGCTATTATAAATAGTAAGTATTATAATAGTAGCTATAAGCTATTATAAATAGTAAGTATTATAATAGTGGCTATAATTAATATTAGTAAGTATAACTAATAAGAAAGGTTAGGTTAGGTAATATACTTAAGTATAATAAATAAATAAGGTATAATATTTCTTTAGGTAAGTTAAAGAAAGAAGGTTAATTTAGCTACTAAGAAACCTATAGTTAGTATTTATACTGCTTAGTTAAGGCAGTAATTGCATTATTAAGGTAGATAAACCTTATTTAATATTAACTTCTATTATAATAACTTATTATAAAGGTCTCTTTATTTATATTATTAATAAAAAAGCTAAAAAGCTAAATAGCCTTTTATAAGGTTAAAAATAAAAAAGAAAAAATATTTTATAGCTTATTATTTATTTTTATTAAGTAAAGTTTATTATTATATATTATTTATAATATTATTAATACCTTATAAGCTTTTTAATAGTTTAATATTAACTTAATATATAAGGTTATTAAGTATTTTAATAAAGTTATTATAAAAGTAATATTTTAAAAATATAATTAAGGCATATTTTCCTTTTTTATAAGGTACTTATTAAATTTAAGCCTTTTTAACTCTTAAACTACTTGTTGGCTCGAGCCGGGGGGGGAGGGGCGGGGCCAATAAAGCAAGCTTAGTTGGGCACAAAACCCTAAAACACGCACAAAACCCTGAGATATCGGCCTAGTTGATTTTTAGGTAGTAAAAATAGTATTTTTAATACCTTAATAATATTATAATATTGCAATTAATTAAAAATAATAAAAAGGCTAAGTTTAAAGCTTCTTATAATACTAAATTAACTATTAATTATATTTAATTAAGGGATATAATTATAATAGTAATTAATTAAGTCTAATTTAAGGAATAATTTCCTTATTAAAATAGAACGCATTTTATTCCTCTTTTCTTATAACTATAACCTCTATAACCTGCCTTTTTCTTTATATAAGATTTTATATAGATTTATAATACTATATATAGTATTATAAAGAGTAGGATATTAAGGGGCTAAGGGCAGTAATAATTAAAGAAGTAACTTATAATTAGGCAGGTAAGGTAGTAATAAAGGCATTATAACTTTACTATTACAGTTAAAACTACTAAAATATAGTATTTTATTAGGCCTTATAAAATAAAAAGTAATAGAATTATTATTATAAAGGAGAAGGGAAAAATCTATTATTTTAAGAGGCTTTATTATAAATAATATATTATAAATAAACTTATAAAAATTAAGAAAGTATTATATATCTATTATAAAACTATTAATACCTTTATTAAGGGCTTTAGTTATAGCTAATTACTATATATATATAAATAAATAATTATTTATTTTCTTTATAACTTTTAATTATTTCTTAAATTATAGTTTTTTTATAATACCTTTAATTATAACTTTTTTATTATCTTATTATATTTATTTTAATACCTTAAGCTCTTTAATAAGCGATAATTATTAATATTATATCTTAAATTATATACTTTTCTTCTAGCTTTTTATAATATACTTATCTTACTACTTATAAAGCTTTTATAATAAAATTATATTAATATAATTAAAAGCTCTTTAAGTGTATTTTCCTTACTTTTTCTTATAATATCTTTTCTTAATATAAGTATAGTAATTATTTATATACTATCTAATATAATCTTTAAGTAAAATAGCTTTACTTATAATTCTCTAAATATATATAAGTCCTTAATATATTAGAAAACTAAGGATATTATAATATTAGTCTCTAAGGCATTATATAGTTATAAAAGCTATTATAAACCTTCTTTTTAATAGTAAAAGTAAGAGAAAATTAGGATTAATTATCTTCTTTATTTTTAGCTTTTTTCTTAAGAAGAAATTTAACTATTAGTTAGTTTATAAATAAGAAAATCCCTAACTTTTTAAAGCTTAAGATAATATAAGCTTATATAAAGCCTTTATTAAAGATCTTTTAAAAAAATTAATATTAATATATAAAAAAAAAGGCTTTTAAGAAAAGGTTAAGCTATAAGCTTTTTACTTAAAAAGCTTTTATAAAGTTATAATAATTAAAGGTTAGCTTTCTCTTCCTTAATACCTTATAAAGCTTTCTTTAATATATATTCTTTAAATATTAAAATATACTTATACTTATAGGCTATAAAATATATATTAAATATATTAAGAAGAAGGTAATAAGGATATTAAATTTTATATAATATTCTTAAAAGGCAAAAAAGCTATAACTAGTAAAGCTATTAATAAGAAGCAGCCTTTATATAAGACTTTTTTTTTTAATAGTTTTAATATTTAAAAAGAGATTATATTACTTAAAGGCATTCTTAAGTTGTTGTAGATACTTATTATAGCTAAAATACTACTTAAAATTAAGTTAATAATATTAAATAATAGCTAACTTCTCTTAAGAATAGTAGTTAAAATGCTTTACTTATTATAGTATTATCTTAGTATTAGAAAAGGCTATATCTAATTATATAAATTATATTTAAAAATTGCTTTTAATTTAAGCCTATTTTAGTATTAAAAAGCTCTTAAAGATTAGGTATAAAAAAGTTATATTACTTATATTATTACTTATACTAATAATAATATAGCTTTTTTAATTAATATAGAAAAAAACCTTTATAAATAACTTCTTTTATATATATATAATAAGGCATTTTATATATTCTTATAAAATCCCTATTTTAACTCTAACTTAATTAGTATTTTAATACTTAAAGGTATTAATTTTATAATTAGTAATAACTTTAATAAGTTACTAAAACTACTACTTAATCTCCTTAATACCTACTTCTTTATATTTTATATAAAAAGCTTCTTTAGCTATAAGAATTAATTTATTAAGCTTTAGATAATTATTATAAAAATACCTATATTATATTTTACTAACTAGCTTTATATTAAGATCTTAATAGTAATATAATATATTTATATTATCTTTAATTTTATATTTAAAGGTAAATAGGCCTAACTTTTATATTTATATTATAAAAGTTAAAATAGTTTTTTCTTTTTCCTTCATTAATAGCCTTAATTACCTTCCTTATTAATTAAGAAAGTCTTTAATTTTAAAGATATTTATAGCTTTAGGTTTCTTTATAATATAAATAATAATTACTTACTTAATGCTATAAAAACACTTCTTAGCTTTATAAAGGCTTAAAGGTTAGGCAGTATTATAAGAGTAGCTACTTTAGAGTTATTAATATATAGAAATAATTCCTTAAATAGCCCTAAGATTTATAGATAAGTATATAATTTTATTTAAATAGTTTATTTACTAATTAATATCTTTAAAATTTTAATTTTAGGTAAGAAAACCTAAAAAATCGCAATAGCTGGCAGTGCAGGGCTATCTTAGGGTTTTATACATATCTCAGGGTTTTGTGCCTAATTAAGCTTGCTTAGTTGGCCCCCCCCCCCCCCCCCCCCCGGCTCGAGCTAATAGGTAATTAATTTATAAAAACTTTTAAATTTATAATATCTTTAAGCTTATAAATCTTCTTAATAAATATCTTTATAATATAAAACTACTTAAAAAAGTTTTAATTATTATATTTATTAAAAATATAAGTCTTTATATTTATAATTAATAAAATTTTAAATAAAAGTTATTTATTTAAATAATACTATATCTTATTAATTAATTAATTAAACTATTTAATTAAGGCCTTTTTAATATAGCCTAGCTAATCTCTAAAATAGAAATAAAATATTATATAACTCTTCTATTTTAGAAAAAGTAGCTCCTTTATCTAAAATGCCTTGCTAATTGGCATCTGTCGGTTTAACAGAGCGTCTTATTGTTGTATAACTATATAACAGTTCTACTTATATAACAACACTACAATACGCATGTATGCTCGGACTGACCTTTGTGTCGTTATTAATCAATCGATAGTTACACCATGGCTATGGGTACGGCTTTTATTACAACCATTTCCAACCAGCTTTAAACTCCGACGCAGACAGGCTGATTAGATGGCAGCTAAGCCAACGGGATTACAGATAATGGAGACTGGCACTATGGTACCTTGGAAGTGGTTGCCGTGGCAGGCTGTTTCGGTGGCGGCCAAGGTTGGCGTGGATCACCTCGTTGAGCTCTCGAATTCTAGCCAATCTTCTTCCATCCTTCACTGACAAGGCTTCGGAGATGAATAAAGTCAGTGTGTGCTCCTCATTGCTTTGGTGTTCCTAGCATAATAGATTCTTGTGGGTTAATTGGTCACAACAGCCACTCGCCGTCCTGGTTAGTAACCGACTCTGTGACCAAGGAACGCTGTCTTGAAGAGCACGAGGTTCTGGTTGGGTCACCCAAGGTGAAGCAGTTTGTCATGTCACTCTTAGCCATCTGGGGAAATCCAATGGGTATGGCGCACAAACTGACAGCGCATACATGGATGGAGCTTTCGATGATGTCACATGACCATGAGGATAGGACTTGTCGGCGTTTTCAACCGTCGGATACAATTTTGCCCATTAATTAGTCCCATAGCGAACCTCACGGCTGTCTAGTTCGGGCCGCAAGACATTGTCACCCATCTCATACGGAGGTGCTGCAGGTACAGGCGCACATTCCGTAGTTTGCTCCATCTCAGATCTTGCTCCTTCACCGACTCGCTTGGGCGCAGAAATCGCGTTGCGCGCTCTCTTCTTACGCCGCCGGAGGAACAACATGGCTGCAGCTAGAAGAATCGCCAAACCTACAACGGGGAGAATAACGGCAAGAACGATCGTGGCGTCTTTTGAAAAACCGGAGCTTGAGTCTGTTTCGTCATTCGTCGGGGCCGTCGCTGATGCGGTATGATCGGATGTTTGCTCAGCTTGCAGCGGTCCGACGATGTATGTTGTTGGCGTTTCCCCGCAACCCCAGGAAGTAAATTTGGCGTTGTCGTTAGAAGCGGTTTGGTAAATGAAGTAGAGGCACCGCGACGAGGCTCCGTAGGTGCTAAGAGTAGTTGTCAATCTTGGATATCACACTCAGCAGCAGTCCTACCATTTCATGATTGGAGAGTAAGGGCAGAGTGAGGCAGCAGTGCCCCCACAATCGGGAGCTGAAGCATCCTCACATGTAGCGGGGATGTAGCAGCTTGTCTCATCGCAACAGCCCCATGACTTGCCGCCGCTGGGAGTGCTGCAGGTGGATGATGAAGCGCAGCCTGCCTTGTAGTCTTTCCAATAGTGAATGGCAGCAGTTAGCCGGTCTGACTCCGTGTCCCAGCCATATTGTCAGGTGCTTACCCGGATTGTCAGAAAAGTAGCCGCAGATTTGTGCATCTGTAGTCGCCTTAAGCGCCTCCACTTGGACGGCGTCAGGTTCGTGTATGTAAGGCGGGCTGTTTCCCCGCGGTCGGATTTCGTCCATCTTGCCAGTACTCTCGACGTGAGGCCAGCTGAAGTTGATGTGCAAAAACTGCGTGTTATGAAACCATTTCCGGCTCGTAATCTCATGATTTTCAGGGCAGATTGTGAAAAGGTTGAGATATCAACCTCCGATATTTGACGGTGGTCTCTCGAGCATACAATCACGTGTTAAAAGTTTGGAATCACCCAGACCGACCCCGCATTTCACAGCAAAGTAGCCAAACCATTACAACAACTTTAATTAACAGTATTATAGCCAAAGATAATGCCATTAGGGAAAATAGGAGTCGACATAGGTTTTATTTAACCCTTACATTAAGTTATTAAATTAACTATCTATTATATTTATAGTCTTCTTTAAAAGAGGGGTAATTTATTATATAACTCTTTTATTTTAAAAAACATAGCTCCTTTAATTAAAAAACCTTCTTAATTAATATTTAATAATTTAATATACCTCCTTAAAGTAATATATATTTTATTATTTTAATTATTTATAAGTTATTGTTTTAATTATAAGTTTTTTTAATTAAATTTTTACTTTAAGGTTTTATATTATATTAAAAATTTATAAAAATATTATTAAATAATAATAGCTTTAATAAATTATAATAATTTAATTTTATAATAATATAATTTATTATTACCCTTATTTATATTTATAATATATTAATATTATAATTAATTTACTTATTTAATTATATAGCCTATCTTATAACTTTTTTAATTTTCTTTTTATTATTAATACTAAATATCTTTAACTTTAAGTAATATAAACTTATATAAACTTAATATATTTTTCCTTTAAACCTTATAATTATCTTACTTTTATCTTAAATATTATATTATAAGTTCTTAATCTTTTTTAATACTTTCTTAACCTATTATTAAATATCTTTAAGCTATTTATTATATAAGCTATTATTAAGGGCCTTAAGAAACCCTCTTTCCCTTTTATTTAATTATACCTTTTTATATAACTTCCTTTTTAAATCCTTAATTTTTTATTTCTTATATTAAAAGAAATCTTTATTAATTAAAAGGCTTTTATAAATAAACTATATAAATAAAAAGATTTCATAATTAAAAATTATTATTTTAATATAATTAATATTATCTTTATTAAATTAGGCCTTTTTAATATTTATAAGTATTATATATAATATATTACCTTTATCTTATTTTATTTAAATACTTTTTTAATTTTAAGGATTATATTATAACTTTTAATTAAATAAGGCTTATTAAGCCTAAGTTCTTATAGGCTTTTTTAAAGTATTATAATAAACTAGTTGAAATATTATTAATAGTTATAGCTAGAAAAGGGAAAGTTAAGTTAAATAACTTATTATAGAAATATAATAAATAATTAAAGAATAATAGCCTTTAAAGTAAGTTAAAGAAAGAAGGTTAAAGCTAGCTAATAGATAAATAAGGCCTTTTAGCTTATATATATATAGCTAGGTTTAAGCTATAATTAAAGTAGCTAATTATAATAATTTAACTTAACTTAATAAAGCTTTATTAGTTATAAGGGTAATAAATATTTAAATTATATTAAACTTTAGAAATACTTAAATATACCTTTTAAGGATAACTTATATACTTAAAAAAAAACAAAATATCTTTATCCTTCTTCTTAAAAGTAAAGATTATATTATTTATATTAAAGAATATTAAAATATCTTCTTTTAAATAATAATAATAAGGTTTATATAAATTTAATTCTTATTTTAAGTTTTTTAATATATTTCTAAGCTTTATTTACTATAAAAGTAAAATAATTTAAAAATTATATAATACCCTATATAAAAGTAATACTTAACTTACTTTATTACCTTTTTTAAATTTAATTAATAACTTTATAAAAATAATACTTTATAATTTTATATTTATAAATATATTTATTATATTATATTATAATAATTTAAAATTATATTTTATTATAATTATAAGTAAATTCTTATATAATTTTCTAATTAGTATTATAATATAAGTTTTATTAATATTTAATATTTATTATTAATCTTTTTAAATAATAAGCCTTACTTTATATTTTTATAAGAATTTATATTTATTAAACTTATAAGTAAAGACTTATATCTTATTTAGTATTTATAAAATATTAATTTATAAACTTTACTTTATAATTTTTATTTAAAATCCTATTTACTTATAACTCTTTAGTAATCTTTTTATATTTATTTAAATTCTTATATAAAATAATATTTATATAAATTTCTATAAAAGCTTAAAGCCTAAAGCAAATTCCTTTTATAAAACTTTTCTTTATATAAAATAAGGTTTATTTAAGTCTTTTATAAAGGTATTAGCATTATATTATTTTTAAGACTAGCCTTTTTTTATACTTTATTATTAATAAAGCTATTATATTTATATAAAAAGCTTAATTAAGAATATGTAAATCTTTATTTAATTCTTTTAGCTTTATTTACTAGCCTAATTATATTTAATTTAAGTAAAAAAGCAAAAAATAGGCTTTTTAATAAAGTTAAAAATAATTTAAATTAAGCTTAAGTATATTTTAAATTACTACTATTTTAATCTTTTTTAACATTACTTCTTTAATAAGTAAGTCTTTAATTAAATTTTTAAAACTTAATTTTATAATTTCTTACTTATTAAATCCTTAAACTAGGTTTATAATCTAATAAAGCTATTTAGAATTTATAAGAAATTATATTCTTATTTATATATTTTTTAAAGTTTATTTATTAATTCTTTCTTTTATTTATATTTTATTAATATTAAAAAATTCTTCTTTATTAAATATAATATATTAAGTAATATATGTCTTATTAATAATTAAATTCTAAATTTAAAATATATTTTATAAGTTAAATTTAATAAGGTATTTAATTTATATTTTTAAATTTATTTTTAATTAAAGATATTTATTTTTAATTAATTAAGTTAATTAAGGTAAATGCTTTATATTTAATTATCTTTATATAGCTAAGTTCAAGTTAATTATTTTCTTATAAGCTATAAATAGAAAAAAAAAGGCTTTTATAAGGTATTTTCTAATTTATCCCTTATTTTAAGATATAATTAAGTAAATAAATTACTTTTTAAACTATTTCTAACTAAAGGCTTAAAGGCAATTTACTATTAATTATTAATAATTTAACTTTCTTTTTTATTACCTTTATAAAGTGTTTTCTTTAGCTAATTTATTATTAAATATAAAGAGCACTCTTATTTACTTAAATTCCTTTTTTATTAAGCTAAGTATATATTAAACCCTCTTTTATAACTTATTATTTATTTTTATTAAATAAAGGTTAATATTATATAGTATTTATAATATTTTTATAAAATACTTAAGTATTAATAATAAATTTATATTAAAATAATTAATAATAAAATAATTATAATAAATTCTTAATTTTTTAATTTATAATAAGTTTATAAAATATATATATATTTATTTTTAATAAATAATTATAAAAGTTAATTAAGACTTTTTTATTAAGTTTTAAGGCTTATATATTTTATTTATAATACTATTATTATTTTACTTTTATTATTTTATTTTTATTATTTTATTTTTATTATTTTATTTTTATTATTTTATTTTTATTATTTTATTTTTATTATTTTATTTTTATTATTTTATTTTTATTATTTTATTTTTATTATTTTATTTTTATTATTTTATTTTTATTATTTTATTTTTAATTTTTAATTTTTAATTTTTAATTTTTAATTTTTAATTTTTAATTTTTAATTTTTAATTTTTAATTTTTAATTTTTAATTTTTAATTTTTAATTTTTAATTTTTAATTTTTAATTTTTAATTTTTAATTTTTAATTTTTAATTTTTAATTTTTAATTTTTAATTTTTAATTTTAATTTTTAATTTTTAATTTTTAATTTTTAATTTTTAATTTTTAATTTTTAATTTTTAATTTTTAATTTTAATTTTTAATTTTTAATTTTTAATTTTTAATTTTTATTATTTTATTTTTATTATATTTAATTATAATTAAAGTATATAAAACCTAGCTACTTAAGTATTAAATAATATTCTTATTATATTTTTAATTTTATTAGTAGCTAATTTAATATAGCTTTTATAATAATATTAAATTTAATTTTATTTATAAGTAATAAAAATATAATTTAATTTAAGAATTTATATTTTAATTTATAAATTATATACTTTAATTTTATTTTATTATATTTAAAAATTAATAATTACTTTAATTTATAAAGACTTTATTTTTATTTATAATTATATTTAGTAATTTAAATTAGTAAATATTATTAAAAATATAATTTATAATTTTAAAATCTAATATAGCTATATCCTATAATAAGTAATTATTATTTAATATTAAAAAAATAATTACCTTCTTTATAATTAACACTTAAGGCTTTAATAATTAATTTAACTTCTATTTTAAATTCTATACTTTTTATTAAAGCTTTTTAAAGAGTTTTTAAACTTCCTTTCTATCTTAATATTATTATTCTTAAAATTTAAGCTATTTTTAAGATATTAAGTATTTCTTTAAGGCATTCTTTAAAAATACTATTTAATATAATATAAAATCTAAGTCTTTATACCTCTTTTTATATAATATATAAATTTCTAATATCTTTATAAATTACTTATAGTATTTTAGAAATCTTTTTTTAATAAAAGTTTCCTTTAAATTACTAATTCTTAACTTACTTTACTTTTTATTTTTAAAAAATAAGATTTAAATTATAATTTTAAAGCTCCCTTTTATTACTTATTTAATAACTAGCTTATTACTACTTTTTTTAATTAATTAAATTTTATATTAAATTTGGTAAAAAAGTTTATTAAAAGGTATATTTTATTTTTAATTATTGTTTTATTTTAGCCCTATTTAATATATAGAAATATTTTAAAATACTACTTTAAAATTTATTATAAGTCTTTAAATTAAGTATTTAAATATTATATTTTTATAACTTTTTTAAGTTTTATAGTTTATATTATTTTTTAAAAATTAATTTACTTTTTTAAATTAGTTTTATTATTTAATATTATATTTAATACTTTAAAATACTATTTTTTAACTTATTTTCTTTTAAATATATTATTAATATTATATATAGCTTTAAGATTTAAAAAAAAATAATAAAAAATAATACTATTATATATATTTATTTATAAGTAATAAGTATATTTAATATAATATAAGTTATTTATTTTAATTATTTAATTAAATATATTTTAAATATTATTTACTTATTTATTATCTTAATTAAAATTACTTTTATAAATTATTATTAATACCTTATAGGCCTTTTAATCTTTTAATATTAACTTAATATATAAGGTTATTATATATTTTAATTAAGTTATTATAAAAGTAATTTTTAAAAATATAATTAAAGCTTAGTTTTCTTTTTTATAAGGTAATTATTAAATTTAGGCCTCTTTAGCTTTTAGACTTAATAGTTTATAAAATGCCTTAAATTTATAATTTTTTTAAGCTTATAAATCCTTTTAGTAAATATCTTTATAATATAAGACTACTTAAAAAGGTCTTAATTATTAAGTCTATTAAGGAAATAAGTCTTTATATTTATAATTAATAATATTCTAATTAAGAGTTATTTATTTAAATAGTAATTTATTTCTTATAATTATAGCTATTTTCTTAAAAATATAGCTTTAAGACTCTTAATTATTAAACTATTAATTTATTAATTAAACTATTTAACTAGGCCTTTTTAATATAGGCTAGTTAATTTCTAAAAGAAAAAGAAAATATTATATAACTCTTTTATTTTAAGAAAAGCAGCTCCTTTAATTAAATTGCCTTATTAATTAGCACTTAGTAGTTTAATATAAATTATAAAAATTAAAGATTTTAAAGTTATAACTATTATTATATCTTATTACTTATTTTAATAAACTTAATATATTAATTTTAAAGCTTTTATAAGCTTATATTCTAAATATAATTTTATATTAATTTTATTAACTTTTTATACTTTTTTAATAATATCTCTTTTTAATATATACTTAATTATCTTTAATTTAATTCCTTATAATCTCTTTAAATATAAAATCTTTTTTAATAATCTTTTAAATTAATTTTAGTCCCTTAAGTATTAAGGAGCTTAAAATATTATTATAGCAGTTACTAATATCTCTTATTATATTAGAGGCTAAAGGAAAGCAAATCTTTACTAAAAGAAGTAAAGATATAGCCAGGCTAATAGCCTTATAAGTCTTTAGCTTTTTCTTTAGGAGATAATTAACTACAGGCTTATTAATAGGCAGGAAAATTCCTAACTTTTTAAAGCCTGTAATAATATAGGCCGCTGTAAAGCCTTCTTTAAACCCAAGCTGGTTATTAATTCAATTCTGTAAATTGTTATTTATATTGCGTAATAGTGCTAGGTAAAAAAATATATTTTATAAAACTTAGCTATTTATTATTAAGCTAAGAGTTCTTCTCGGGTTTATATCTCTGGATAATTATATCTAGGACTTTTAAATATTAAATAGAGGACTTTTAGACTAATAGTCTGAATCCTGGAGGGAAGGGGGATTCCCGGATTTTCCACATTCAGCTGAAGTTAGCTTTTACTAGTCTCGGACCGCACGGACCGGCCGGGAGCTGTTGGCATGCTGCTGACAGCAGGCACAATAATCTGCTACTATATAGACTATAGAATCGTAGACAGAGAACCTGCGTCATCACCGCCAGTGATGAATGGTGACAGGTAACTTTGAACGTGATACCTCGATGTGTAAGTCCATATATCCCCATTAGCTGCTTGAGGGCCCTATCTTCCAGACATTGTCCAGCACTTGGGCGATGTTTGGACGAGTATGATAGATCTCTCTGCAATATAGAAAGCACAAGCTGTTGCTTGGGGGGCCTAATATCATGGTCTGTCTCTCTGCTCTAGTCATACCACGGCTCGTCATGTCTCCCATCTCCCTTATAAGATCCCTTCCAAGATAGAGGAAGAGACCTTGAAGTTCTGACTGTAAAGTCGAGTGTTGCAGAGTGCGCTGCACTAGCAAACATTGAGAAGCCCAGGTAAAGCTCGGCGAAAATACACATATAGCTCCACATATCAGGGGCAAAACTCGGATCTGCATTGTAGACGTGCTCTGGGGCGCAATAGGTAGCAGGTGACTGCACCTTGAACTTTACGGAATTGCCGGGTTTGATAGCGTGACCGAAATATCCGAGAGTTATGGTCCACTCCACCAGACTGATAACGAGCTGGCCATTCTTCCACATGGGTCGGGATGTCGGTATGGACATTTTCCGGGGACGCCTGAGATATTGGTATATCTAGCAGCTATCGTAGTGCCGCTCTTGCAAGGAGTGAGACTATCTATACATCATTATCGCTGTTGAGGCCTGTACTATATTATTAGTTTCAATGTAAAGATATTCTGTGGATGTATTGCTACCAGACGCAACATACCTCGATGTATAACTCCGTCATCATGCAGCGCCTTGATTGCTTGTAGTAGCTGCTCAGCAGACGACCCCCGGGTAGTAACAGACATGAAACTGGCGTAAGTCTGCAGGTTAGGGTCCTTTAATGGAAACGTGAGGACTCTGCGGTGTCTATAGGCGGCGCTGGGCAACAGAAAGGTGCCATGATAGGTCAAAAGGTGTGCGGTATCTTGCACACCGCTTATGATATCCTTCGCTATGGCGTACTCTAGCTCAATCGAGTCTCCAATAGTCATTAATACTGGCCAGTATCTCCCTGGCTTCGCGGCATACGACGCAAGTAGATACGCACATCAATGATGAGTCATTTACTCTAGACTCTCCAGCCTTCAGCGCATTCTTTTAGTCGTGGTAATATTAAACTGGTTAGGGATAGTATCTGGTTGCTTATAGAGACAGAAGACGTGGCATAGGACAGGGAATTTCACCGTGAAAGTGGTTAAACAACTCAGCGAGGAAGAAATCGTAGATACATATAACTGGTAATCTTATTCAAAAGCACACTCTACTACATGCAGCAATTTGGCTATATTCTTTACTAGTTCTCTCCTTCAAGATTCTTATAGATATCTGACATTAAGTTGTGAGGCATACGGATAGGTGCTACTGTCCTCCATACCTAGTTGTATTTGTTATTACGTACTAAGACGGTTATTAGCACACTATTCTATTGTCATTTCAAATCTCCATCTCTATATTTCTGTTCTCTCTACTCCAATTCTTAAGAGCGTTTGTAGTAGCACAACTTCAGGTCTCTGTTGATAATTACAGCACTGAAATATGTATCTTTCGAGCTACTTCCATTATCTTACAGACTTTGGCTAGTAAAAGAACCAACATCCCTCTTCCGTTTCCTTAATGCTAGGGCAGCAACTAACTCGTCGCTCGACCACGCTAACTATAAGAGCTACACGGCCTCAGTTCTTACTTCACTTACCTCATATCGACCAAGATTTCTGAAAACAATAAAGCAGGTAAACATGCGACGGTATGACGGCAGATCAGGTTATGACCGGACGACAGCTGTAGGAATTGTGTTGTTATAGCGTTTCCTACTCATCTATTAAAAGCCAAAGCTCAGTGTAAGGTATTATAACATATTTAAATACCGTTCCAGTATACTCTAAGCGGGGACTGTCTCCCTCATATTCTACCTATAAAGAGTAAGAATATACCTTATTATTACTTAACGATATCCTTAACCTTAATTTTAGTGTTTTCGCATAACTATTAGATCATAATAGAAAAATAGCAATACGCCCCATACACCCCGTATATGTCCAGGAGGTTAAAGCCACAATAGCGTAGAAAAAGTCAGAAAGGCTTCGTTCCTTCTATTCGCTTTGATGCTATCTTGAAGGGACGCGTAAGGCGGATTTGCACTGGGGCTACGAAACCAATGCAAACCGAATCAAGTTTATCAGGTAGGTTAAGACAGAATAGAATATTGGCTGTATTAAGCCAGCCTTTACTACCAATCTATGCAGAGATTTTGCGCAAAACCTGCAGCCTGTACATTCAACCATAAGGCTAGCGTTAGAGCCTGAGTCTCTAATATCATGACAAAGATAATAGAGAGGTATAGACCCAGCAAGCTGAACGACAGAAGGAACTAGCCTTTCCTTTTTCAAATTTTCATAGAATAGCATAAGGTTCGTCCAAGGAGTTTGTAAAGTAGAAGTAGCTGGCTACCTAGTAGTTACAGAACTGTCATATTCCTCGCGTTACCTTGAAGGCCTTTAATGGTCCTCTCGACAGTGAGTTCCAGTGACTTGGCAAGCTTCCTTGATCAAGATCCCAGAGCCAAGTCTTTCTAACATCTAGAACTATTCCCACGCAAGATTCTACTCAGCGCTTCGATCAATTCGAGTTTCCGCAGTTCAAATTCAAGTCAAGTGAGAAGTCTGAGAGAATCTAGGGCGCGTGATCTCTGTCTGGTCGTTATCGGCCTCACCAGGCCATCGCTCAGCGAGAGCATCAACTCGTTCAGGGCCTCCGACCTTAAAATGCCGCCAGAGACTGTAAGGAGGGATAGCATCGTATTTATCACGACCAATGTCACGCTTAAAAGGTTGTCTAAATCTCGTTGATCGTTCCAATACTTCGGGACTTACTCACAGCAATGGCCTTGGATACGTGATCCGCAACTTCACTTATGCGACTCTCGTCATAGCCAAAGTACTTCAAGCTACCAGTTTCTGCAACTTCAAGGGCCCCTCATTGGACCAAAGTACAGCTGCCCCAACCTTCCGCGGAAATTATGGTACCCAAGCTCTTCATTCCTTTCAGCTCTTCACGTGAAAGACACGATAACCCCCCAGCTATCACCGGCCCATCAATGACACACTTACTTGCAAATGCAGCTTTGCAGGTACAAGCTCACGTACAACTTGCCCTTTGTGAATGGCAGCACGAAGGGACTGCATGTGTGCCATCTAGTACGTATTAGCCTCACTAGCACACAGCATAAGGGCGGACAAAGAACGGCCGACTTAAAGGTCTCAAGACAAATTTATATGCCAAATAGCGGGAAACGGTGTGGATCATAACTAATTAATCAATACATAGTACGCTTCAACCGCCACATATATGATCTGTGTTCGGCCATGGTGACATATCATTCCGTCTCAGCGCTGAACATAGATGGATGCTCAGCCAGGGTATCCCAAAAGTTTATCTCAAAATCCCACGGTTCTAAGTGCGATTGAAAATCCCAAATATTGTCATCCGGTATTGTTGCCGAAATACCTGTACTTTGAGGTAGACCGGCCTGCCTATCTTGAGCATGAAATCGTATCAAAAACTTCTTGATAGTATCCACAGCCCTCGATAGCAATGCGTAGTTTGACTCCATGGGTCGAACGATTGTGCCAAGGTCGACTTCAGTGACTACGATCCCGAGGTCACGGATAGTCTGGGCATCCTGGAGGGCATCGCACAGATTCCGCCCTCTGAGCATGGCTATCATTATGATCCCTATTGCTGGAAGGCCGTAGTGTGCCAGCTGTAGCTTGAATTAGTGACAAGATGGGCAACCAGTGGCTAAGAGAGACTTCACTCACCCTCCACTCAAAGCTTGTCCCCGTTGAACACACCAACTGGTCCCTAAGGACAATCACTTCAACCACTAATGAGAGGATCTCCTGAGATATTGTCACAAATTCAGGATCAGGGTTGGCTGGTGACCTTACACATAGAAGACGGAGAAGAAACAAGACATGGAGGTATCCAAGCCTTGTGCTGACGAGAAAATCCCTTTCCCAAGCTCCCTCATCATGATTCTTCAAGCTCCCCTTCATACGAAAGCTCTCTGGCAGCGAAGCCCACTGTTGCTCAGCCCTCTCCCGAAGGCCACTTGTATTGTAAATCAGCAAATGTTGTCTACAGCTCTGAGGCGCTTCATAAGTCGCAGGCGAGATAGTCTTACCAAACTCTTCCACTCAAATTTTCCTTGATCTCTTCGCTGAAAATATCCAGTATTTCTTCCTTCAAGGAGGCGCAAGTCGCAGTCCAGCGAGTTTCAGCCCAAGCAGACATTTTAGAGTCAGCAGGCCATTGCAAAATGTCACGGAAATGCCCAAAGGACGAATTCGCCTCCACTTCAGTATTGACTGACCATCTCAATATGGCGTTGAGGCGGCAAAACTTCTTTCCGAGTCGCGGGGGACGTCCAAGAAATATTGCCCAGTTCTTGTCGGCCGAGTAGGTCCGTGCCAGAGCGGTCCTACGGATATTGATAAGAAATTCGGGCAATTCATTCATGGCCGCCAACTTCTCGTGATAACCGAGCGTTGCGATTGAAGTGATGACGTCGCCCAGTTTGCGATATGAGTAATATGCTAAAACGAGCATAAGCGGTGGGCAATGGGCAGATGAGTGGGCAGTGGAAAGCGGACATACACTGAATTCCAAAGACGTACGAGTAGGAGATGAAGTTCTCGTACTGAAAAACCAACTGTAGGTCGTTGAGTTTGTCAAGTGAAAGGATTGCTTCGACGGCAGTGTCAGTCAACTTGACGGCCAAAGACATGAGTTCTTGTCGACGGGTGCCATCTAGATACAGTGGCGGGAAAGGATAAACCTCTGATGACGCTCGGATAACGGCACAGATGAGAAGACCTAGAGTCTCCAGACGTGCATTGGAGCCCAAGAACTGTAAGCAAAACTCGTGTACATCCAGGGGTGGCTCTACGAGCAAAGGGTGTCTTGAATTTTGGATGAGTAGCCTGGCATAACATAAATACCTATTTCTCCCTGGTTGAGTGGATAAAGAATGGAGGTTGTCTAGAGCAACAAGGCATATGTCCACCAGAGGTTCAGCGAGAGCAAGATTGGCCCCAGTTGCGCGCCAGAATGAAATCAAATCTTTGAAAGCGGCCGCTGAGAATGAGGCCAGCAACTGTGTCATGCAGTCTGCCACCTTGCTAACATGAACCTCATCTTCGAATCCAAGTGACAACTCCTGGGTTGCGTCATATGGTAGAGGGCTCAAATACCGGGCTGGGACCTCATCTGGAGATAGCTGGCTGAAGATGGCAGCATGGCTTGATGCGCCGAGATAGCCTGGATTTGGATAACTAGGCCTGGCATGAATGGGAGATGCAGGAGGGCTGGTAGCAGCGACAAGTGTGGTGGAAGCCACCGTGACGCTAGATAAGTCATAAGTCTGCACAATCACACCATAAGATGCTGGAAATGCATACGGAGTACGAGGCTCGCCACGAGTGGAGAGATTTGGCGTAACTCGCCATCGTTTCCGAGAGCCCAGGGGAGTTCGATACACGCACTGAGAAGGCTTGTCGTTGACGAGACAGCGGCTGCAGGCTGGTCTCCCGTGATCGCAAGAGAGCTTCGAACGCCTGCACGGCTCACAGGCAGGAATTCTGGGGCCCCTCGGCGGCGGCATTTTCAACTGTTCACACTGCCAGGTTGGACGAGTCGGAATTTAAGTCCCTCTCACGGTTGTTCGGATATTGGTTTACCCCGCAGTTCGAAATTCCGAAATCCGACCCAGCTCTGTTAAATGACGACCATGATGGGTTAGTAACCCAAGCCTCTGCCAATCATCATCGTCCATGGCTGCTAGTGACTGTCACCTCACTGATAGTCATCATGAACGTAAAGCAGTATGAATAGTAATCATATGAACATGATATACACGTGAAGATCTTGTTGAAAATATAGTATTCTGTCTGCTCTTTAGCCCACGTTTGCTCGACTCATCAGGCTGCTTTGGACATCCATTCCTGAACAAGACCTTTGAAGTCGCGCAGACAGTATGGTTCCATAATTTCCTTATACCGGGATGCTTTCTTCCTTTAACTTACTTTAAAGGATATTATACTTTAATTATTTATTATATTTTTATAATAGTTATTTAACTTAACTTTTCCTTCTAGTTATAATTACTATTAATATTATAACTACCTTATTATAATACTTACTATTTAAAAAAGCTTATAAATACTTAGGCCTAATAAGCCTTATTTAACTAAAGGCTATAATATAATCCTTAAAATTAAAAAAGCTTTTAAGTAAAATAAAAGTAAAGGTAATATATTATTTATAATAGCTATAAATATTAAAAAGGCTTAGTTTAATAAAGATAATATTAGCTATATTAAGATAGTAATCTTTAGTTATAAAATCCTCTTACTTATATAATTTATTTATAAAAACCTTTTAATTATTAAAGACTTTCTTAAATATAAGAAGTAAAAGCTTAAAGATTTAAAAAGAAAGTTATATAAAGAGATATAGCTAAGTAGGAGGGAAAGGGGGTTTCTTAAGGCCCTTAATAGCGGCTTATATAATAAGTAGCTTAAGGATATCTAGTAGTAGGCCAAGGAGGTACTAGAGAAGACTAAGAACCTGTGATAGGCTAGTTATGGTCTTGGACCACGAGAGCGCGAGGGGGATATCGTACCGCGATGTCTGGGATGGAAGCGGGGTAATTGCGGGGTTCTGTAAAAGAAATATATTGAGTTTCATATAAGTTTAGTTGCCTAAAGTTAAAGACATTTGGCGTTGGCGGCGAAAAGAGGATTAAATAAGTTATAAGACAGGCTATATAACTAAATAAGTATATTAGCTATAATATTAATATACTATTAATATAAATAGGGGATATTTATATTATATTTTATTAAAATCTCCCCCTTAGAGGTTTTACTATTTTAATTATAATTTTAAGGTATCCTTACTTATATATAAGTATTATAATCCTAGTAGTTACCTTATATATACTTTATATTTTCTTCTAATTATAAATAGTTATTATATATTAAAGAGTTCTATAAGTAATTACTAAGGCCTAATTACTAATATCTAACTAGAAATATTAATAATTCTTAAATTTATTTAATAATTGCCTTTTTAAGCTATAATTATATTTAAGTATATAAAATATATTTACTAATTCTTTTATAAAACTTAATATACTAGCTATTAATAAAATATCTGTAAATTAATAAGCCTAATATATATTACTTAATTATTAAAAGATATAATACCTTATAATACTAAATATTATACCTTATATTATTTATAAATATAAACCTAATATAAATAAATTTACTTATTTAAAAACCTTAATTATTATATATTAATAACTCTTATTTATAAAATATTATATAATATTAACTATTATTTATATAATAATGCTTATTACTTTAAGCTAAGCCTTAACCTCTAGCTATAGCTAGTAGCTAACTTAATCTAAGATATTTTATAAACCTAGAAATATCTTTATAAATATTAATAATAAAATAAAAGAAGATATTATCCTGGCTTATTTAAATACCTATAAGGATAAAGTAAAGAAACTTAAGAAAAAACTTAAAGATTTAGGGATATAGTATAATATATTATTAAAAGATATTAAAAATAATATTAAGGTTATGTAAATTAAAATTAAAAAATTAAAAAAATAAGTAAAAAAACTTTTATATTATATTAAAGAATTTAATAAAAAAATAAAAAAATTTAAAGGCTATACTAGTCTAACTTATATAATAGAGATTTTAATAAACTTTAAGGATTCTTAATTAGCTTATAAAGTTATTATTTATATTATTTTATATAATTTATTATAAATAAACTTAAAATATACTATATAATAATTTTTTTTATAAAAGTAAGGCTTTATAATAATTTAAACCTATTTTATAAGATTATATTACTAAATTATATTATAAATAAAAGGAAATAACCTAATATATTTATAATAAATATAAAAGCTTTAAGAAAGAACTATAATATACTTTTAATATTATAAATAAGAAATAAATAGTAAAAATAAAAATTTAATAGCTTTAATAAAAAGGATTTATAGCTTTATATCTTATTAAATACTACTATTAAGTATTTAAACTTAATTAAAATAAAAAAACCTATATAATATATATTTATTTAAAATTAAAAAATAAAATTAAAAATACCTTATTTAATATTTGCCTTAAACCTAAGACCTTAAATAAACTTATTATTAATATAATTAAAATAAATAATTAATAATATAAATAATAATATAAGAAATAGCTAATAAAGGATTATATAATCCTTAATAAAATAAAAATAATACTAACTAAAAATATAAAAAAAATAATAATATATTTTATAAAATAAAAGCAAGACTAATAATATTAAGAATAACTTAATAAACTAATAATAATATTAAAAACCTTAAGATATATCTAAGGTTAAATACTATAATTATAATTAATTTAGATATATTATTAATAAATATCCCTAATTAAAAAGGCCTAAACATATTAATAAAGGTAAGTAAATACTAAAAGTAATTAATAACTAAGGCCCCTAGACTATTATATAAACCTAAATATTAAGAATAATATAAAGTTAATATAATATTACTAGCCTAAGATTTATTTAAAAACCTAAGAAATAAAACCTTTATTTAGAAAATATAATTAAGAAATTATAAGACTAGTTTTTTACTTATAAAAAAGTAAAGGTAAAGAACTTATTAGCTAGAAATAAAAAAATATAAAACTAGATTTAATAAGAAAAATATATTAAATAAAAATAAAAAAATTAAAATAGTATATTAAGCTAATATAATATAATAAAATAAGAAAAATAAAACTTTATAATAACTTAAAATATAAAAAAATAAGTTAATATAAAATAATAAAAACTTTAAAAAAAAAATAAAAAAATAAAAAAACTATAAGTCCTAGGAGTTATAAAAAAATAAAAAAAAGGCCTCTTTACTATCTAGCTTCTTTTTAAATTTTACCTCCTGCCATATCCTAAGTATAAATACTACTAGCTTACTAATATAATATATATTATTATTATCTAAGGCGCTAGATATACAGGATACTACTAATCTGCTAAGACCTTCTCTAAATATAAAAAAAAGCTTAAGAAGTTTATTAGCTAGTAATATATATCCCTTATTAAGAAGGGTATATTAAAGTATCTAGCCTATAAGCTTGCTAAGTACTATATTTAGGCTAGTAATAAAGAAGGCAATTTAAAGATAAATAGCTATTATATAAGTTATATAAAGAAGTTATACTTTCCTTCCTTACTAGGTATGCTCTTAAGAGGCATCTAGCTCTTTTAGGCATTTACTTAAGTTTTACTAAATATATTAAATAATTATTAAGGTAATAATAAAGATAGCGATATCCCTTTATAGCTATCTGCTAATACAAATCTTATATAAGTCCCTTAGACTAATAATAAAACTGTTATAATATAGCTAGGTGCTAATACATAAGTATTAAAGTAGGGACTTAGTAGGGATAGTAAGCCAGCTACCTTAGTAGAGGCCTTCTAAGCTAAGAGCAGACTTAAGAGCTATTTTAAGAAGGGAAATAATACTTTTAATACTTTAGCTATTACCTAAAGGCTATAAGAAAGGGATTTTCTTAATAAACTATCCTTATAAGAAATCTATATTATAGGTATTATAATATTATATAAGATATTTAGTAATAAAGGCTAGAAATAGTTTATAAATATATTAATATACTTTATAGCTACTACCTATAATACTATCTTATTAACCTTAACTAAAATACAGGTAAGGTAATAAATAAAATCTATAAGGATAATTTAATAATATTATTTAGTTTTACCTTATATTAAGCTTAGGCTATTTAATATAATAGCCTTAATATATTAATAATTAATAATACTTAATTAATTAATATAAAAGTATTACTTATTTATAAATAGGATTACTAATTAAGCTAGGCTATAATAAAGTTAAATAGAAATATTAAAGACTTTTTTATTAAAAATAAGATAGATATTAATACAAGGCTAGTACTTTTAATAAAAATAGCTAAGTATTTTAATAAGAAGTTTAATATTCTTAAAAGCATTTTAGTTATAAAGATTTATATTTAATAACTATTAATAATAATAATAATATATATAATAAGCATATAATATAAATAAGTATATAATATAAAAATTACTACCTTCTTAAGATATAATCTAATAAAAACAAAATAAACTATTTAATTAATTAAAATTAATTACTATATTCATTACTAAATACCTCTAGAACTACCTAATAGGTCCTTATATTATGCCTAGTCTTACTGTATATACTATATCGCCAAATACCTAGCCTAATTAACCTTCCTTAACTACTACTTCTTAATAATTTAGCTAATACCTATATACTTATATCTATTTACTTAATTAAATCCTAACCTTCTTATATAAGTATCCTCTTTTTATTTTATAAGTATATCCTTTTTGCCCTATACTGCTAGCTAAGTATATTATTTGCCTTATAAAGCTCCTAGTTCTTAGCTTTTAATAAGGCAGTCTTTTATATATTCCTTATAACTGCCTTTATAAGAGATTAAAGAGCTTTAAGGATTAACTTTAAGGAGCTATTATAATATCTTCTAATTTAGCCCTAAAGGTATTTAGACTATAATCTGGCCTTAAAGACTATTATTAAGGTCTTTAAAGTTTAAGCTTAAGCTTA